AAGCATGTCTCAGTAAGGTCACTCACTATTAACAATTGGTTAAGAGCTGGGTTTGCAGCTTGGTGATGTAATGTTTGCTATTTCCCCAGCAAGAAAAACAGTAACAATGTTTTTTGGGTGGAGGGGGTGGTGATACCACATGCCTGTAATCCTCAAACTTGAAAGGTAGAAGCAGGAGAATTGGAATAGGCTAGACTTAGACCAGCCTGTGCTACATGAGATGCTTTGCCAAAAGAAAAACAAAACAAAACAAAACATGTAATTACTATTATAAAAGTGTCAGTACAGTACATGGCAAATGGAGGACGTTGTCTTTAAGCCTCACTAATGCCTTAGACAGGTAAGTCGCATAGGCTGCCTGCTCATGTCCCAGCTTCCAAGCTGTTCGCTGTCGGAGGGCAGTGGGAGGGGCAGGAATCCCAGATATCCCTATCTACACAACAGAGCTCCGGGGAGACTGAGTACATGAGACCCTGTATCAAAAACTTAGTTTCTGTCCTTTAGAATCTTTTATTCCACAAACAGATAGTATATTTGGCATATGTCTCTAATAAGCATCTCTATAAACTTGAGTTGTTTCTGTGCCGTCTGCTTTTCCCCACTAGTGCTGGGGATGAACCCATGGCCTCCCACACTCTAGGTAAGCACTCTTCCACTTAATTATGGCCCAGTCCTACAACGGACTTTGACTCTGAAGCCTTTTAATAATATAGCACAGTGCATGGTTAAAAGAGGTCATGGTCATCACACAGGGCAGGCTCCTGGCACGTTACGAACAGAGTCTAGGACATCCTTTTTATAGGACAATTACTTACATGATGAGATATTCCAAACTAGCATCATGTCAAAGTAGAGCAGGTGTCACTTGGTATCCAAGGCTGGCCTAGAACTCACAACGATCCTCTTCCCCAAATGCTGGGATTCTAGGTCGTATGCCACCATGGCTGGCAAAATGTCAGTTTTAAAGTCCAGACGTTTAGTGTTTGAGTAAAGAAACAATACCAGACCAAGGGTAGATAACAGACATTCTAAGTATGTCAGATTCCTAAAGCCCTTTAAGTAAAATTTCTTGCCAATAGTCCAGTACTCACTGGAGAAATGAGGACAGGAAGGCCAGGTCACTTTGTCAGCATAGGAAGTGTAAGGCCAGCCTGCCTGCTTTATGTGAGACCCTACCTCAAGAAAAGTCAAAAAAATGAAACCAAAATTTCTTGGACAGCAGGTGAAAGTTTAATTCTAGTGTCTAAAGGATAATATGAAGGTATGAACTTGTAAGGGTCAAATGTCACTAGATGAAAATTAGAGGCAAGGGGCTGGAGGAATGGCTGCTCCTGCAGGAGAGGTGGACTTCATATCCAGCACCCAGATGGTAGCTCACAACTATCTGTAACTCCAATCTCAGGGGATGTGATACCCTCGTCTGCCCTGCACAGGCAACAGGCATCCACATGGTACAAACATACATGCAGGCAAAATGTCCATATACATTAAATAAAATAAAACAAAACAAAACCGATGTAGCAGTTTAGATTTTACAGGGTCATGTTGAAGATGAACTGTACAAAGAAGTCATTTAAGATGTTAAAGATTCAACCAGGTCAATGTAGAAGGACAAACACTATTTCTTTTTTTTTTTTTTTAAATGTTTAAAACTTTTTATTTTCAAGTGATGTATTTAACTATCTATTGGGTATTTTCGAAATATACTGTGGAACTTTAGTACAGTTAGGCATTTTAAAATATTATTTTGTCATATTTAACTGATAATTACAAACACTATTTCTATCACAGGCTGGTTGGTAACAGTTCCTCAGGAGGCTCAGACTTTGGTGTCGCCAAGAGATAGTCAAAACTGGGCTAGCAAAGCAAATGAGCTAACGATCCCCATGACATGGGCAGTGCTCCAAATGCCCAGGGACAATGTCAATGTCCTTAAAAGGACACAAGTTCAGGAGATTAAAAGTCACAATGGAAGACAATGAAACAGACACCACAGGAAAGCAGAGGACAGAGGTAAGAACCTGGGGACTGTAGGACTCGGGGTGTGCCCTGAAACAGAAAAGGGAGGCAGCCAAATTATTTTCCCATTTCATCTTCACAGAATTAAGTAAGTTAAACCATTTTAAAACCAATTAATAAAAGTTACTCTGAAGAATTCATGTTTTTATAGTTTATTGACTATACATTGTGCTGATTTTTATTATTTTACTGTTTGAGTCAGGGTCTCATTCTGTGAAAGCCAGACTTGCCTGGAACTCTTTATGCAACCCAGGCTGGCATTCTCCCACCTCAGCCCAACAGCTGGGGTTACAGAGGAAGGTTGCCATGCTTGGCTGTGCTAATTTTTAAAAGGTAAATATTCAATGTAAAAATGGGTTGATTCTGAAAACTTATAGTACTCTTAAGACCAAAGGGTCTTAATTGATTTATTTTAGTTAGTCAAAAGTACCAAGGATATCCAAATTAAAACCTATTAAGGGTGAATATGGTGGCACACAACTTTAACCCCTGTACTCCAGAAGCAGAGGCAGGTGGATCTCTGTAAATTCAAGACGAGCCTAGTCTTCACATTGAGTTCCGGGTCAGCCAGGACCACATCCTGAAACTCTGTCTAAAACAAAAACAACAATACAACCTTATTATACGTCGGAGTACTTTTTAAGTAGCCCTGAGGCTGCAGATGTACCCTACCTTACCCAGCATGGATGAAGCCCTTGATTCCGTTCCCCAGCACTTTGTAACAGTGTAGCCGCACACTTGGGAAGGAGGTGGAGTCAGTAAGATCATTAGTTCAAGGCTATCTTAAGTATTATAGTGTTGGAGCCAAGCTTGGGCCTCAAAAACCAAACCAAACCAACAAACACTAAAAAACTAAAACTCTTACCCCGCCTGTCCCCCTTGAGGAGTCACACCCACACTGGGGTAAGTCTGCATTCCCATGGCTCTATTTTGAGAAGCCATACAGTGCTTTCTTGGGTGTGCCTTGCTTCCTTCTGAGTGCCTCTCTTGCCCCTGTTTTTAAGCCTAAATCAAAACATCTTTATTTAGTCCATTCCTGGGAGGGGGTTCTTGGGAAGGGGAGGAAGTGGAAATAATCAAGCGCATATGATTAACATATGCAGACTTGCAAAGAATAAAGGAAAAACAGTCTATTAAAGTCAGCAATCCTGACTGCAGCAATAACAGTGCTACCGAATCTTCATGGATGAGTAGGAAGTAGCAGAAAGTGCCCTACAGACCCTCTCCCCAGGAGTCCCGGCATTTCAGTCCACTTGTTAACGTCTACGGGGGCCTAGGTCCATCTGTGCCAGAGTCTCCCGGTGCGATGGTGAGGCCAGTCCTGCCACAATATGTTTCCCAATCACAGTAATCCTATTTCAGTTATATTAAACGGTACAGAACCAGAGTGCTGCGGCTCATACGTCTAATCCCAGCACTTGGGAGGCTAAGGCAGAAGTACTGTCATGAGTTAAAAGTGAGACAGCTTGTAGCTGAAAATTTGTGCTTCAAAAATCAAACAGAAATTATAACAAGGGCCACCAAGATGGCTCAGTGGGTACTTACCATCCATCTTGCCAACCTGAGTCCGATTACCGGAACCTCCATGGTGGAGAGACAGAGCACTTCAGTCACTCACAACTCTTTTATTAAAAACCTGGAGTGCCAAGAACCTGTGGCTGAGGAGGTCATACACCCTCAGGAAGACCCTATTACTGTTTCTTTGCTAAGTGGATGTAGCATCAAACTGTGAATAACTAACTTATCCTTACACCCATAGCTCGGTACAGCCCTCTGCTCTCACTGTCGTACGCGTCAGGTAACACAGAGAGTCACACCTCTTCAAAGTGCAGGACACATGTGGCTGTGGGCTCGTCGGCTGCATCATCCCCCTACTTCCAGGGCCCAGGTAACACCACAGAAGAGAAGGTGAACCAGTCGGTAGCTGGGAGGGCTGCTGTGAAGTGGTGTTTTCCAGACACAGGAGGACTGGGCGCCATC